ATATATATATGTTACACGGAAAGGGAATCACCTCCCGTGGAGAAATACAACAAAAATGATCTGTTTTGCTATAATAAGCCATCAAAGACAATAGTTGTATTACAGTCCAGCTCTACCTGAGTAAATTTTCCATATCAAATGCAGTAAAAATCCACCATAGGTTTCATAAATGCTTCCTTACTTTTCCTGTCTGGCAGATGTTTTTCACTTGTCCCTTTTTAGCCCATAAATATATTTCAGTCAAGAGTCTGTCCTTTCTTTTCCTAACAAGCTGCATAAAGGTTTTCCAGGTTTTCTCCGGGGTCTGTACACCATGTGACCCACCTCCTCCCTCCCCTGTATTTCTCTAGCATAGCACTGCTTGTCTATTTCCAGTGAGTTTGTGCACATTGACAGTTAGGGAGGCAGTGGGACTTTAATGGGAAATTAGACAGGAAGGACTGGGGAATTTGTACATAAAACAGAATCTTACAGTATATTTTGGAAATTGTAGGAAGGGGATTATGGGTTCAATCCCCTCTAAAGTGTACCTGTCATTAAAAAAGAACTCAGGGTAACGAAAAACCGTCCCCTTTCAGTGGGGCAACCCCCTAATTGCAAGAGTTAATATACTTTTTTTATCTTGGGGTCTTAAATATAGCTGTTTTTCATATTAGCTGATCCTTGGTCCCGCGACGGTCAGCACTCACCTCTCTCAACTACAACTATGAAATGTTTCTCTTCTTCCCCACGTCTAATGCAGGTCAGTGGACCTCCATAAGACGTGATGATGTCGGCGGTCCTTAAACCACCATAGCACAGGGGAGAAGAGGCTGTGGGGGAGACATGTAAGCTGCGGAAAAATTTGGTTTGGATATTTCGTTATTTCGGAATTCGGGATTCAGATCCGAAATTCAATTAGGTTTGGGTTTCAGATTTGGACAAAATCCGAATTTCGTTAATTTCGGATGAGTTTACGAATATTCGTTGCGAGTAAAACAGAAAACCATATACAGATATTAATACTAAAGCTGAATCTCCTAGACCCAAATGGCATTCGGGACCCGAATTTCTGAATTGCTTTCGAGAGCTCCCGAATGCCATTCGGGTCTGGGAGCCTCAGCTTTAGTAATATATGTATATGGCTCCCAGACCCAAATGGCATTCGTGTTCCATATTTCCGAATTGCATTCGGGGGCTCCTGATTGCCATTCGGGTTCTGGGAGCCATATACAGATATTACTAAAGCTTAGGCTCCCAGACCCAAACGGCATTGGGGATCCAAATTTCCGAATAGCATTCGGAAATTCGGATCCCGAATGCCATTCGGGTCCAGGAGCCTCAGCTTAAGTATCAGGGGCGGACTGACCATTCGGGCAGTCGGGCACTATGCAGTCCAGAGGGAATCAGCGGCACCGAGGATCAGGTAAGGAAAACAGCTTTGTTTGAGACCCCTACGTGCACTTGCAAAACATGCTGGGAAAGCCGCACTGAAAAGGTAATTTTTTTGTTTGCCTGGAGTTCTTTTTTAAGTCTGTAAGCACATGGATTCAGATTTCGATTTTGTATGACAATATCAGAAAAGGAATTTGACTTTTTTTCAGCGTGTTTCCTCTAAGTTCTTAACTTTTCTGCTCATAATCAAAAGCCATGTCGATATGTTAAATTGTCCCATTCAATGAAAGATCCACTCTGGTGCAGTCAGTAAACAAGTAACTATTTTTCATCACTTGCTTCGAGAAACTTGCAGACAGCGGCTTGATTCAGCAAAGGCATCTAGGAAACTTCTACTCTGCTTTAATCACTGATATAATGGTTTTCCATAGGTTATGCAGAATGTTTTCAATTTGGCTGCTGGGAGACGAGAGGCTGAAAGCATTTCCTGTCTGCCAGGCATAATTGTATTAAGATATTTATGACTGAGCACTTAGTGCAGAAATGAAAGATAACGTATAATTATAGGATGGGACCATTTCTGAAAATCCAGTTTCGTTAAATTATATCATTCTTTATTTTTGGTGTTTGACACACAATGCTCAGTATTACACAATAACTTCTGTGCAAACTTATTAAAGTGTATGTAAAGACAAAAAAGTGCTTTTTTTTGTTTTGTTTTGAATACAATTGGGAAGATTTAAAACTCTCATTTGATTTTTTTTGCTATCTGTGTCCTGCTATAGAAACATTTCTTTACTTCTTGTCCTGAAGACGCAACAGGAAGTAAGAGGAAGTCTTCCCAAAGTGAGGTCAATTGCCACCTTAGACGATTGTCACCAGAATCTTTGTTCACATTGGATGATCTACCATCACCTTGTACTCTCATGACAATGCTAACATTTTAGGATTTGCTCTTTCTGTCTGAGTGTTAATTGTCAACAGGACAAATCTAGGGAGGACTCTCCTCAGCAGGGTCAGAGACAGCAATAAAAACTTTTTTCTGGAAGTCGGAAGAGAGCGTTGGACCTGTGTGATTATTCTGTTTTTATCATCCAATAGTAGTTAAGTGATGTGAATATGTGTAATCTGGCTAATGGATAGGCAGCCATCACTGAACCTAAGAGTCTCCACAGTACCTTTGGCTTAACAGTGAACACAGTAGATGTTGGAATTAAAGCACCACAGCAATTAAAACAGTCCAAATACAACTTTATTCCACTAGGGTCAGAGCTCAATCAAATAGAATATCCAGCGCGTTTTGGGGGTCCAATAACACCCCCTTCATCAGGGCTTAGTGAGGCAGCCAAACCAGCTGCTGACAAGCCAGAAGCTTTCTCATCACTGCTCAATAAAAATGTCAAGGTGCAGGGGTTTTAGCCCACATACATGATTTCTCTGACTGAGCCCTGATGAAGTTTTTTGGACCCACACAATGCGTTGGCTATTCTACTCGATTGTCCAATGACCCTGGTGTAATAAAGTTGTATCTGAACTATTTTTAGTGGTGTGGCACTTCAATTCCTATATCTAGCAATAAAAATTGGCAGAGGGACTAACCTGTCCTCCATCCAAAACTAAAAAAAAAGTTTTTGCCTTTACATACACTTTAACTGCAGAAAAACTGTATTCTGAATATATTATTTGTAGTGTTGTAATAGTGTATAGTTTTTACAATGGGGATTTTGCTGGGGTAGACGTAAGACCTGACCTACAGTTGGCCATACAGCTTACGATTATCATACATTTTTTTTCGTTAGATTTTCACTTCAATACCCCATCATGCACAGACCTATGTCGATTTCGATTAACGTTCGTTAGCAATACTGACTGGCCGAATTTCGTCGATCGACAGAATGGATTTTCATTTGCGCATGTGGTGTGTACCTGTTGAGATTTTTCCGTACGAAAACGCCACTAATTCATCAAATTTCGTATGATTCAAAAAAAGTCTTCCAGCCTGACTGATTGAGGAAATTCGGCCAGTTGTACAGTAATTCTGATCATTCACTTCCCATCAACTGTCCTATTATCATACGAAAACCCGATCGCGTTCGTTTTTCGAACGATAATCGCAAGGTGTATGGGCACCTTTTGGACAGTTGTAAGTAAGGTAGTTGAATTAAAATTCATAGTTACTCTGTCGCTATAGAAAAATATTAGAAAACAGCTAGTTTGTATAAAAAGAGTAATAATACATACCATTTCCACTGCAAGGAACTTCAATCTTTCTCAAAGAGCTTCCACCAACTGAAGAATTTTCCAAATTTGACACTTTTAGGTGTGTCATATGCTGAATGTTTTGCTTCCACCTGCTGGCTACTACATCACTACAACTCTGCATGGACCTATTAATGTAGCAGCTGGTGGGTGAAACAATAGTGTCCAGAAGGGGATGCAGGCATGTCGAAGTGAAGATTGAAGTTACCAGTGGTGGGACTGGTAAGAATTATTAGAACTTGCGTTGACAAACTTTCGACTTGACAGCATCATCGA